CCCCCCCCCCCCCGGCCCAGGCGTTTCTCAAACGAGTATCGCGAAAGTGAGAGAGTCCACGGCCACCGTCAACGTGCATCCATTTCTGCACAAGGCTTGGATACATGCACAACGGGGTCGACGTGTACCGCTGGTTGTCTAACGATAATCGGAGACCGGTTGCTTTGTTCGTGGCCACGCGAGGAAATTGGTCCGAGAAGATTGGTCTGCGTTAATCCTATAACCGGGAAATTCCGATTTCCACCGATGACCTCTACGGGGAAATACGGGCGGTACGGGAACATTGGCACCCGCCGAACGTGCTTCAAGTCAAACACATCTACGACCACACTCTGTTACGGTGAGAACGAAACGCTCGATTCCTGTCGACGGGGAGCACGTTTTAAAAAGCATTTAACCATTTCGCTGTGACAGATCCTCCAACGAATTTGGTCATCTTGGGTGGCAGGGGTGGAGGGAGGTTTTGCTGAAGAGTTCGTGTCTTTGTTAATGGAATAGGTTAAGCTTCTAATTTCTGGTGAATGTGGAATTTGATTGTGATGTACATAGTTGCGGGGTTTTATCCTTTTCGAAAATGATGAGACAGTACTCTCCCCTTCGTAAGTACAGTAAAATCTGGATTAGTACCCGAAAATTGGAACTTGGATCGTTTCTAAATCTTTATCGATTCTAAATATAGAATCAACGCTGAACGTAGAAAAGGACAGCGAGTGAAAAAGAAAGAGGTGACGAGCATGGCGACACCAGTGTAACCGTGTAATTTTGTTATTTTTAATTATTTTTCAATTTTCAATAAAACTTTTACTAATATGTTTGTGAGATTTTTCTGATTAAAACAAGACTAAACGCGATATAATTTAAATGATATTTACTTATTGATATTGATTAAGTGCCATAAATGATCAATAAGTACATATAATCCAAATTATATCTGTTTAGTATTATTTTAATCAGACAAATTTCACAAATACGTTAATAGAAGTTTTAATGAAAAATAATAAAAGATAGGCATGTAATCTTTTCCAGGGGGAACACTTGCAGGTACTAGTCCAGATAATACTGTATTAAGAACTTACCACACTGCCAGAATTCTTAATGATGTACCGTATGACAAATTTTATTCTAACTTCAGATTATTATTCCCAGCAATTGGTAACTAAAATTCCTAGATCGTAACTTCCTTAAATTTTCTAGCATAGCGAGGGAATTCCTACTTGCTTCAATGCCCCAGATTAATTCCAATTTTGTAACGGGGAGCATAGATTCCTGAGTAGATTACGTTTAAAAACAGGAACGCCGTGTCCGATTTTAAGTCGTCCCCTTCGATTAATTACGTGATCCCAGTAAAATCTTCTTCGTTCCCTCCACCAAATGAAAATGTTCCGGAACACGGATCGATTTTCTTATCGGCGCTAATTACAACCGTGTATTTTTATCGCAAATTCTCCATCCGTTCGTCGTCATTCCTCGTTACATCCCGTGAAAAGCAGAACGTGGAAAGGGGAATGCATCACATCTCTCCCTCATCACCGTTTCTCCGTTGCGCGCGTACATCAACGGCCGCCCGTCCGTTCCTCCGTCTGCTTTATGCCGGGCATTTTTCATTTTTTATCATAACGTCGATTCGCGTGCCGCCGAAAAAAAATGAGACCAGAGAAAACGGGGACGCGGCGGAGAGCCGACTTCCGGACAAACAGCTCGGCCCGACGATATGACGCTTTCTCCGTGGGGATGCATCGACCCCCGACCTGTAAACGTCGTTTCTTCAGCCCTCCTTGTGTGCACTCTGGAATCGTACCTAAGAACGTTTAGCGACAACACACTAGCGAATTCGTGATCCAGATAGAAAAAGCATCGAGCAACGAACGAAAAAATAGAAAGAAAAAGAACTTGTCGCCTGTCGCATGCGTTCGGTACAATTCATAAATTTTAATCGGAACTTCTTTAAAATGAAATAATCGTATACTCTCTGCTATTGTCATTTTACTGTTTAAATTCAAAGCCACTGGGAGAATATTGTTTATAAAAATAATTAAGTATTGTAGAAAGTGTTCCACTAAAATAGAAAGAAAAAGAACTTGTCGCGCGCATTTGTTAAAGAAATCAGGCCCACCGTTGTGCAACTATTGCAACCCGACACTGTCGAAAATCCACTTGCTGTATGAGTGGTAGAAGATTCGAAGGACAGCAACAAAAAATACAAACGTGACCCAAACACATCGTTGACGTACCAAGCCACGGTAAAGATACCCTCGACTACGTAAAAGAAACCCAAATGTATACCACAAAATCTAACAACAAGATCTAGATGTCTCCTAATTTTTTGGCTAGGGAGTGTAAATGATTTTTACATAAAATCCCCGAAATTTCTGATAATACCTTCTACATTCTACGTATTATAGACAGACGTAGTTATACATACTACAGTGTCTCTATTCATCTTCTATTATTCGGAAAAATTGTTGCACCCATCTCCAGTCCAGGGAATGATGTGCCGGCCATAAAGTCGAGTCATGGGGGACGAGGAGAAGGAGAGGATCGGCGAGAGGAAGGTGTATCGCCTGGATCTTCTCGGGCCTGTGCTCCTGAAAAAGTTATTTAACCAGAATTCCACAACTTTTACGTTTCCATGGAACGCGTATTCACGGCCGTGGAACGACTCCCTGTTTCACTCGATGACGCTTGTTGTACGTTGCCGGTCGAAATTACGACCGGCGACGCAAGAAGGCACCAAGACAGTTTATTCGCCCCGCGCCCACGGAATATGCTTTTGTTCTTGCCTCTCGCGGCTCGCATAACACAGAAATTCGCGGCAATTTACGGCGGACTGGATTCCCCCTGGCCTGAAGTTCCGAGAGAGAAAGAGAGAGAAAGAAAAAAAAAAGAACGAGTTGCGAAAGTTCGCGAATACACGGAGAACGACTGGTTAAATGACGTTTTATCCGTTTGGCTTTGGAATGCACCCTGGAAGAGGATACGTGTCCTCTCTATTATTTTGTATTAACATTCGAATATCGATAAATTCCTACGGGACAGGATAGCGGAGCGTTTGGTTTTTGTAAAAAAAATTTAAACTTTGCCTGTACTCTCTTGGGGGTCCTCCGTGACTTCTTGAGGATCTTGAAGGTGCTTCGGTGCCTCATAGAGTTTCTCGGTGAGTTTACGGGTCTTCCTGTGTCTTCCAGGGCCCCTTGTAGCTGTTCATGATAGGTTCACTTATTAATACTGAAATTAGATATATATTTATATCTAACTTTTGAAAATATACAAATTAACAAATTAACACATTTCTTCACTTACATGTTACGGTTGACGTTGTAGAAGATCTGAGAAATTGCATTGCTTTAACATGTTAATCGTCGCTATAAGAGTATTCTAACATTATACATACT